AGCCCCGCCCCCTCACTGCCCCATTGGATCCCTCCCCAAATCCCCACGTCTTCCCCAAGCACGCTGCATTCCTCCTCCTCACCCCTCCCTCCCAGGCTTGCGCTGATCAGCTGTATGGCGGCGCAAGCGCTGGAGGGAGGGGGGAGAAGCAAGACGCAGCTTTTTTTTTTTTCACTCCGCCGGCAGCCCCGGACGTTGTGGGGCCCTCTTAGGCACGGGGCCCCATTCTGGGGAATCGGCTTAAAGCCGGCCCTGCTGGGGAGCTCCAGCCTGGTAAATCCCCAGGCTGTGGGCCTTGCTAAAAGGCCAAAACAGGTGCTGGGGTTGCAGAGGCTGCAGCCTGGGATTAGGCAGAGGCAGTTGGTCCGACCCCCTTGACAATGATGAGTAGCCTTTTACAGAGTGCAGTTTACCCCAGTGAGAGGGGGCTAGATGATGACTGGCAGTAGCCACTGAGGCAAGGCAGGTTTAGAGGGTTGGGGGTTCCCTTGGGAGGGGAGACCCAGAGCATGGGGGTACTGCTGGGGCAAAACCCTGAGGTAAAGGGCACCGGGAGGGACACGGGGCCAGCGGCAGGTGAGACACCAGCCTGCAGAGGGGGCTCCATATGCTGGAAAAGAGCTAATTCCCAGATGACCAACAGGAGGCGCTGCGCCAGTGGTTCTTTGACCAAATTTGCTACACTAGCTCCCATATAGCTCTTTTCGTCAGCTCTCAAAGCACTTCACAACCTTTATTTTATTTATGCTCACGACATCCCTGTGAAGTAAGGCACTGCTATTATCTCTATTTATAAGATCAGGAAATGAGGCCCAGAAAGGCTAATTGACTTACCCATTGTCATGTAAGAAGTCTGTGGCAGAGCAAGTGCTAGGCTAGTGCCCTAACCACTGGACCTTGGTAAATAGCACAATCTCCATTTTACAGATGGGGAAACTGGGGCACAGAGTTATCAGATGATTTACCAAAACTCACATAGCGAATCAGTGGCCCAGCCATGAACAAAACCAGAAATTTCTGATTTCCAGCCTGTGCCCTGGCCACTTTGCACAGTATCCAGTGAGCTCCTTACAGCCCCACTCCAAGATGCGGCCTCTTCTGTGTCCTTAACGGTAAGGAGCATGGATCGAGCCAGCAGCTGAGACAAGTGGCCCATCAAGCCAGAACTCTGCCTCTTGCCGCATGCAAAACCTAATGCCTCAGAAGAAGCCAAGCACCCCCACAACGCACTGGGCCTGTGCTGCCCCCTGGCGCCAACCTCTCGCCTCGCAGTGAAGCACGTTTTGTCCAGCTCCACGCGTGACATTTCTCCCTCCCCAGGGCCCTTGGAGCTGGGAGGGCAGCACTAGCCCTACCCCTGAGGCTGAGGGCCCTAGGTGAGCGTGGGGGGTCGGTGTGGGCGGGGTCAGGGGGCCCCTGTCTGTGTATAGTACTAGGCTCACACTGGCTCCTCCCTGCCAAACGGCAGGGAGCAAAGCTCCCGCTGCTATTGCGCATAGGCAAAATATTCCTAGCGGCGGCCTGTCCAAGGCGGAGGCAAAGCAGTCCATCTCCTTGCGCATGCGCCTACCCTATCGTCTAGCGGTTGGAAGGCGATCGTGTCTGAGTGGGAGTTCGCGTGTGCGCCTGCGCCGGCCTGTCAGGCTGGGGGAGCGGCTGATACCCGAGCGGGCGGCGGAGGCGGCGCCGGGCCGGGTAAGGGAGCGTGGCGGGGCTCAGCCTCCAGAAAGAGTTAGGGAGCGGGCCTGGGGGGCGGCTAGCCACGTCCGGCCCAGGCTGCGGGGGTGCCATGGAGGGCTGTGATGGGGGTGGGGGAAGAGTGGGGTGTAGCATTGGAGGCTATGGGGTACCATGAGGGCTGTGATGGGGTGGGGGAGCAATGGGGTGCACTGTTGGGGACTATGGGGGTGGGGGAGCAGTGGAGCAGGTGATGGGGTGGAGTTGGAGCATAGGGGAGCAGTGGGGTGCACCTTGGGGTTGATGGTGTGGGGTGTAGTATTAAGGAGTAGGAGGGATGTGACATGGGTGTGATGGGGTTGGGGGTGCTGTATGGGGTAGGGGTGCACCCTTGGGGGAGCAGTGAAGTGCATTATGGGAGTTGGAGTACAGCTTGGGGTGTGTGAGCAGACTGGGGGTACATCTAAGTGCACAGGGGTTGGAGTGTAGCAGTGGGGTTCAGTGGGTCTAGAGGTGCTGCTTGGGATGGTCGTGTGTCTAGTGACATAGTATACAGGGGTCACAGGAAGATGGGGAATGGTATTCTGAAAAGTGGGATGCACTCAGCTATTGCGGAGAGTGGAAGGGGACTGAAGAAAGGCCTTTAATCTCAGATAGTGGGAGGAGGGGCTGGAGGTTTTAGTTGGGCAAGGGGTGGGGAAACTTTGAGTAGCTGGGGAAGATGGGGAAGGTTGGGGAGCCTCTGTGGTATCTGGAAAATGTAGGCTCAGGCATTGCTGGCTGCTGCCTCTATCAATTGGCATGGATGTTGACACCATAAGCAATTTGAATTGTTAGTGGTTACTGAGTTGTTTTGGAAACACAAGTGACAAGCATGGATTTAAATTTGAAATACCGATCTGTTTGTTTTTTTATTCACGTAATGTGGGATTTAATGCAGCAGACTGTTTGCTGTTAGATTAAAATTTCCATTATCCTGTAGATTATGGGAACTGCTTGTGTAAACAACATTGAAGTGTGCTTGTTATTTTTTAACATATTTGTTTTAAATCCAGTGAAAACTCCACATTGATTCTGCAACAGTGCACACAAAGTGGGAATAAAAATAATCCCAGGCTCCAACAATTAACCTGAAAACCTCTAACTTCAGATGGTAGGTTTGAAGTTTATGGGTTTGATTCCTACCTCCTCAGTCATAACAAAGTGTCTTCAAAACACCATGTGAGTTTATATTTAATAGAGGCTTATGCAAATCATGAGTTACCAATTAAGTATTGGCGGTGATATTTCAGGACTGTTTTACTGATAAACATTTTGCACAATATCTGGTTGTGTGTAAGGGTTAGTTGCTCCTTTTCTGCCACCAAAAGGCTAGCTGTGGTCATCTCCCAGACGCACAGCATATTTCAATAACACACAGATAGCAAAACTTCATAACTTCAAATACAATGGTAACACATATAATTCAATAGGATAGTAATGTTCAACAGATCATGACCTCTCAAATGGTACCTGCACAAAGCATATCATAATCATATCACAGTGGTGAATATGGCGTTGCAGGGTGCTATTTGAGGTACAGAGTGTCACACTGGTTCACAACCAAAGGCAGAAAACTAACAAACTAAAAAAAAATAAAAAATCACAAGCTTTAGGAAATGTTAAAGTTTCCCAAATACCGAACATTTGAAGTAAATAACTTGCAGAAATTAGTGCCCTGAAGGAAGACAAAGAGCAGTTTAATCTCCATATGCAACCCTGTGCTATGACTGCAAGGCAGGGATCCTTTCATTCCTTTCGGCAGGTGAAATCCTAAATTTCCAAAGTCAGGCCTAGCGGGATTTTCATTCACCGAGATCTTACTTTACTGGTAAGTTCCATTATAATGTCCTGATCCATTTGCCCAACAGTTTGCCACCTTCTTGGTGGTGGTACATTCACAGTTTGAATAAGGAATTGCTAGTCTACAGTCATGTGATATTTTTGGACTTGCCTGAACTGATCATATGACCACACTAATATAAAAATGGATGTGGCTGATTGTGTTATATTAATGATGGACTTGCTTGGATCATGTGTATTGATCAAAGCATGTGCTGGTGATGTCCAGCCGTGGAGTTAACTAATGTTTTGAATTACTTGCTCAGACACATGAGGGCTATCGGCAGGTTTCATGCTCTTGGACTTTGCAATTCCATGTTTGTTGTTCTTCTGGCTCTCTGCTGCTTAAACCAATAGGCATAATTGCTGAGTTGTCCCAGGGTAGTTAGAAAGATAGCTGAGCTCTAGAAATATGCTGGAAAATGCTCATCACCATTCAGAACCACTGTCCTAGGAAGAAGAGATTTCGTAGACTAAAACAATAGTGTGGTGGATCATCCTGTTACTGGGTTTCCTAGAAAACACACAAACTGAAGAATGATTTAACTCATCGGCTGTAGATATCTGCTCTGATAGTCTCTTGCCTCATCAGTTCCCACTAAAGCAGGTCTTTGTGGTGTTTCTGAAGAAGGGTTTCTTTGTTTCTCAACCCATCAGACTTTAGATTGGACATAGCTGAATATGGGTACAGCAGGGTTGTCATTAGTGCTAGCTTTCTGTACACTGCACGGGGTGCCAGGAGTGGGACATCAAGCTACAACAGATTTGCTGATCTGAAGCCACATAGCAGAGTCTAGTACACATTTCTTCTTCCAGTTTCAGGAACTGGTAGACAGAATCTAAAAAGAGAAATATTACAAACTTCAGAGCCAGTTTTCTAGAGTATCTGTCACCTATGAAAAAAATTCTTCTCTATGCAATCTCAAGTATGGAAGAAAGATGTCCTCACATTGCCTGTAAGCGTTATATGTAATGTTATGGGTTCTACAAAGTTGCTGTTAATAGTAAGGCCAAAATTCTGAATAGGAAAGAAGGGTCCAGGGATGGTCTATAATAAGAGGACATCAGCTAAAGCTGCATTATTTAGATACCACAAATTGCACCATATAAGTATTGCACCGTGATACGTATGATGAACGTGCTCATATGAATAACAAGATGAGCTACTTATTTCAATGTAAGCGATAGGAAGAGCAAGTCCATAACTACAATACTGTATTTATGGGAATTTCACATTTTCTCATTCATGCTTTCATATACTTCAAGTGCAATTATTCTGGGTAGCAATTATTCTTTATAGGTGATTGAAGCCAGGAGATGCAGGTATTTGGTATAAACCACACCTTTTAAAACTGTACATTTAGTGTTTAACAGTGCCAGTTACACAGTCTTTGAACCAGGTCCCCCATCCACTTATTTGGTACTTCAAACTAGAGACAACATTAGTGGTGAGTTCTCCATGCTACTCAGCAAGGACAAATTTTAGGGGTAAGAAGGTAATTCAGTCCAATTTTGGTTCAACCCATAGTCTAATAATTTGTGCTGAAAACACTGTTTTCAATCACGAGAGCCATCTGAATATAAGATCACACTGGAGACAAGGCACAGACAGTTTACTTGTGGGTAAATAGTTGAAGTCAACCCCATACTGCCCGCATGGAGTTAACCTTGACTTAAGCAGGCAAGGTCAAAAACTATAGTTCCTCGTCTCCACTAGGTAGCAATCTTGATGTAAAAACTGCACTTGTTCTTTTTTTTTTTTGCATTGAGACGTACCCCAGCTTTTCTGAGGGGCCTGCCAACAAAGGTGTCATTTGTGGTGAAGGATTTCTGTGTTGAACATTTTGCACTTATGTTTTTCTAAAAGGATTTGCAGCCTTTTTGCTCACACTGTTTTTGAATGTTCCTACTCTCCAGCTTCACCAGTGGGGCAGAACTTTGGAAAGACTAGAGAAGAAAACACTAAAATATGGCAGTTTATTGCCTGAAAGGTGTTTGTGTGCAATTGTTTGGCAAGCTACTTGAAATTACAATGAAAGGAGGAACAATATGTGGCTCTTTGCCAGTGCCTGGCTGTCCTCCAAAGTGAAGAGATTATCCTTTGTCGCTTTTTTGGTGACACTTGCTATTGGTAATTAGCTTTTTCAGAAAAGGGATTATTCATTAATTATATGTTATAGATGTCCTCGATAAGGATGCCCTTGTGAGCAACCCAGCAAAGAATCTCATGTTAGGTTTTGTTACTTTGGGGGGTGGGAGGGTGTAACGAAGCGGCCTTTGGCGGGACACTACTGAGAGTATCAATTCAGAACAAATTGCTTAGAGCAGGGCAGTCGCAGCCCAAGGCTGGGGGTCCTTTACTTTAAGGCACAGCAAACCAGCCAAACAGAGAGGACTTTGGTTTTACCCCACTGGCTAACCAGAAGTTATACAAGCAATTCCCTCAGATACTCCAGTTCCTTTGTATCACTACCAGCATCACTCTGAATGGGGATGAATGGTTATGAAAATCAATACCCCAGTAAAAGAAAAAAGGTTCTCCCGATCCCAAAGGACCAAGCCCTAGACCCAGGTCAATATTCAAGTCAGATCTTACCCACAAATCACGCTGCTTCCAACCCTTTAGAATCTAACATCTAAAGGTTTATTCATAAAAAGAAAGAAATATAGATGAGAGTTAAAATTGGTTAAATGGGATTAATTACATACAGTAATCGCAAAGTTCTTGGTTCAGGCTTGTAGCGGTGATGGAATAAACTGCTGGATTAAGTCAAGTCTCTGGAGTACATCCATAGCTTGGATGGGTCATTCAGTCCATTGTTCAAAGCTTCAGTTTGTAGCAAAGTTCCTCCAGAGGTAAGAAGCAGGATTGAAGACAAAATGAAGAAGATGCAGCTGCCTTTTATAGTCTCTTGCCATGTGTCCTGTGCTTCCTTTGTTTCAAACACAAGCTGCCCAGCACATGGCATGAAAGCCTTAGAGTTCTGTCCATAGGCATGTCCCTTAGGGTGACCAGATTAGTAGTATA